ATAATTGATATCCACAAATTGAAGCTATCAATCAATTGAAAATTAATGTATTGCATTAACAACATTATTTTAATGTTACACTTGAAGGCACTCTCAATGTTTCGAAGTAGTTTCTTTACGTTTGGCATAAAATCAATGAAATAAAACGGCATTGCTCTAAGTTTGTGAGCGGAAAAATGTCTGTTAGTGAATTTTCCAATTGGTAACATTCCATGATGGTCGTACACGTTAACCTGTTCGTCGTGTAGCAGAAATAATTGAGCTTTTTGCGGAATTACCAGTTTTGATAAATCAAGTTGCATGTGGTTCGTCTGCCTGCATGGTCGTCATACTGGAATATCCAGTTTAAATTTCATCCATCATCCTGTCATCCTCTCCTTCAAGCAGAAGAGAAAATCGTCTTGGACAGTCATTTCGATGTTATTGTTATCAGGATACTTTAGTCGATTCCTTATAGAGAACTGATTGCGTCAATATCACATCTAACTTTAAGTAAGGCCATTGAAAGCTATGCGATTGATTTAATAGAGTTTTTGTTTTCGTGGCACTACGAGTCGATTGTAAATCAGAACATATACATGAAAGGTTCACCAGATATGCCGAAATTATTCAATACATTTCTATGAGTTTTACTTATGTGTTATGCTTGAGTAAGTATTAAGTTTTGAGTAATTCTTTTGAACTAATTTATAATGAAATTGTTCAGTACTAAATATTCAGGACTGGGGAATGAATCGCGCTAATTCCTGAAATATATATAATTTGGCTAATTCGCTAAATATATAAGTGTTGATTTGCTGAACATTTCCCCAGAGAGCTCAATTAACATGGCGAGAGCAGCAAATTTCTCTGTACTCTTTGGTCGGTCGCATCCAGCTCCCACCGCCACGGAACCTGATAGAAAGCTAATTATACAATTATGTATTTCGGGTCTCATGCATGTAATTTTTTTAATCCTATTTTGCCGCATGCAAAGGGGCGTTATATTCATATAAACTCGATTAATTCAGAAGATACTAAACTATATAAATGCTCTTACTCCTTTCATGTATAAAAAATAAATATGCATCTCATCACCATGATGCACTGATTACTTGAGGTTACATTGTTAATATCCCTGGCATTGACGATGTCGGGCAGCCACCCGCCGCATCAGTAACTATATAAAAACATGTATGTATTATTGTACAGCGATCGTTCAGAATATGTGTTTTTTTTTAATATTCGAGCGCTTAAAAACCGGCAATGAGGGCAAATGTAGACGCTCTATTTCACCAGACTTGTTCAGGGTTGACACCGGTGGACCGAAATTGTCACAGGTTGGTACAAATCAGCAGACAATTTTCCTTCGATAAAAGATCGAGTTTTCACTGATTAGAATTTTTTAAAGTCCGACAAAAGCTCTAAACATAGTCAGAGGTCAGATCTTGTATTCAGTACGTATTTATTATATCCGACCGGCTCCTCAAGCATCATTTCTATAATGCCAGTAATTCCCGTTCACTGCCTTTAAATGCTGACAATGAATTTTGTGACAATAGATCTTATCATAATATTTTTCAGCAAATAGTTGACGATTTGTAGATTAGAACAAAATATTTTTTTAATAGATGACCTATTGCGTTAACTGCAGAAATGTAAGAGGATACAGAATGGATGCGCCTTCGCACAGCAGTATTATAATTCTTCCAAAGTCTATTAAAAATGGTCCTGCAAAAATAGTACTATGCAAACAGTAATTATTTCAAAGCTTTGAAACGACTTTCCTCCTTGGTGAAATAACCTGAAGGAGCTCTTTCATATTGTCATAAACACATTAAACTTGAAGCTAGACAAATTTGAAGCACCTTAATTATAAGCAAACAGGCGCGACTTTTGCCTGTATTGACCTTTAAAACGGAGAGTGCCGAACTATTATGTAATTTTTTTCTTTCATATTAATATTTCCTGCGAACTTGTTAAGTTGATCGCTAAGATTACGAACACCGGGACTTAATTACAGTTGCTCGGCTACGTCACATAAGATCAACGCATGAAAAATCCCTGCAAATAAGTGCAGAGGCAAACGAGCTCGTATGTCGCGTTCTCGAAAAAAATTCACTATTAATCCGTAAAATCTTCTTGTATTAATGCGGCAATTCTCAAAATAATCGGAAACGAGGAAAATGTATTGGATTAAATACATTTATCTTTCATGGCATAACTATTATAATATCAAATTTAGGAGTCTTCGCGACTGAAATTTCCTGTGCGAAAACGTTTATTTGATCAAGGATCAAGTATTTTCCAATGCCTTATATGCTTTGAAATTTTTAAATATATACATATCTCTCTCAATTCGGTTATCATGCCATGAATGTTAATCTGACTGGAACATCAATTAATTTCAATTAGAGATGAGTGAATACTACTCAGCACAATCGAACTGTTCTTGCCAATAAAGCTATGATAATGTAATAAATTGAAGGAATTTCATACTATCAATCTCTCTACGACACCACTAATATAAAATACAAATGAGTAAACCTGTCATATTCTCTTACTCTGAATGCAAGACAACACATTTTGAGACAAAATTATCCGAAATAAATGAGACATTTCACATAAAGTTATCGTGTAGCCTGTGAAATCGACCATATTTAATGCAGGTCAAGTAAATTCACGCATACCGCGGCGGGAAGAGAAGAGTGAACGCCAGACCTGTTTGAGGTTTCAGGAATTTTTAGAGGCCTGTTGCTTAACCTGCCACGTAGATACTACAGGTTACAATTGAAAGAGAAAATTATTGTTGGCTGGTATACAGCTTTCAGCACATCCCAACTTTTTAGGTCAGCAAACGACTGGCACGAAATGATTACATTGCGCTGACGAGCGCTTGACATCATTGCAAGAGAAGGGTTTTGTGTTGCTTTTGCTGATGATTATCTTCGCTTGGAAATTAATTGAGTTTATACAAATACGGTTGTTGAAAAGGTTGAAATCATCCAGTATTTTGTATATATTATTGTAAATTTGAGGAAAATTTATCCTGTAGATGGTGCTGGTATAATTGAATATGTTGTTTAACGGGATCACTGTCAGTTGATGTCAAGTGAAAGATCCATTGCGTAATCTCATCAAATTGTTGATAATTTACGAATATGATTGACATATTTTAATTTTCAACATTTAATGCATTATCTATTGAATTCTATTTTAAAAGCCTTTTAAAACGGTAAAATAATTTTATAATAATTCACATGTTTGCGTGTATAACCGGTGAAACAACTAGAAAACCGGTGAAACAGCTTGAAATCCGGAACTTATCATTAAGGACGAGCTTGTCGGCCAAAACTCGTGGGGTAGCTAAGCCATCACCTGCCTCGACTGCCTGAGCCCGTTGGCCTGCTTCTCGGCAAGTACAAGCTTGTCTTGTTTCAGGGGGACATGTGGGCAGCATCTTGATTAGAGTGCGCCATCAAAAGAAAGTTTTAGACCTCTCATTACGTTCAGACCTCAACTGTTTCAATAGCGTTTCAGCGTTAGAGTTGCGCAAACCTCAAAGCGCTCCTATGTCTCTCTCTATAAATATATCCTGAGTGTTTCAAATTTTGGCCATTACAGCTAAGACAATGAATATTAGATTGATATCCTTATACTATATTAATCCTTTGGCTTTGATTATTCATTTCGGATTAGAAAACAGTACTTAATTTTATTAAAAATCGTGCGGTCAAAAACGAGAAATGAGCATTCACTAATATTTCATTAGGTCCGGGTGGCCCAGTGGTTGCAGTTCAGATTACCAGGATTGGAGCACTGAGGCGCGGGTTCGATCCCCAGCTCTGTGCGCCAGTTTCTGGTCAGAATCGGCGAGGAGGCCGGGCGGTTAAGCATAGCAGAATTGGAGCAGTAAGTTGCGAGTTCAAGACAGCAAAATGCTGCGAATGTACCGCGATGTTAAGAATCGGCGACAGGCCTACGGCCTAATAACGCTGAAACCGCTATTAAGTCTCTAATGAAAACTGATGATACGGTCGTGGGTTTAGTGGTAAACAAAGAATGAATAAATGACAAATGAAAACTGTAATTAACAAACATCATATACAAATAAAGTCATGAACACAACCGTGTGTTATCTTTGCTCTAGTTCTTACTAAATTAAGAATTAAAACAGAATTTGGAACTAGCAATATATGAGCAACAAAGCAGAATTTAACTTAAATAAGATAATATAATAATTAACTGATAATCATCATTATATACCCCTCGAAATACCACCACCGAATTGAAGCAGAAAGTTATCACATATAAACAGCACAAATGCTAAAGTAACGCGCACCTCTGCGTTGTAGATCACACAGCAATGAATAAGTGAAGAGCATATATCTGAACGAGGTCAAGGAATGAAACGCTATTGCTGCAACTGGAATGAAACGCTATTGCACTGTGTGGACATTCTTGTGGGCTAGCCCTTGTAGAACTTTACTAAGCTGTTCCAAGACGCGTCAGGATAATAACATAGGCAGGATAAGAAACGAATATTCCATGACGTACGGTTTCAAGAAATAAAATTAGAAAAAAATTATAAAAAATTATTCATGATATATGCAAGATATGACAATGTGTGAACGAAAACTAATCAAAATTATATAAATATGAAAGGGGATAATCAATAATTTAAGTAATCATAGAAATCTAACTGACCGAATAGCTTGGTATTTCTCGGGTACTACAGGCATCTAGGGTTAACACTGAGTGTTTTGACGAATCAGAATTTAACTACGTCTAGTAGGCTAATTCAATTGCTGCAAATTCCAGTGAATATGGAAAATGTCGGCTTCACACTGCGTCTCCTAATCATACACTCACTATCTGTGCTACTCATATGTTAAAGTTATTATTTTGGTATAATTTTTCCTCCTAGAACCTCAACGATTTTAGCTAGTAAAGTCACTGAGCAAGTTCTTCGGAGGTCGGCAAAGACGTCTTCTTCTTGCAATTGAAGTCAGTCTGCCGTCGATGGTCAGACTGAAAGGTTGGTTACCATCTCGTCTGCAAGGTTCGTTCATCTTTCTCAAGTAATTTCTTGAGCACTTATAGATGATGCAATGCATGAGATCTCACATCCTCTCATCTGCAATGCATTACAGGGCTTCAAGATTCATAAATCGTACTTTACAAAATTCATCATAAACCTCTTTGAAGAAAATATTCAATGAATATTTTGACTGAATTTAGTAAGAAAATACAAGTTTGAAATATAGATTGTTAGTTCGTGATGACTAGTAATGAATTAACAGAAATTGACAGATTATATTTCTTGAGCGAAATTTGTTAATGCTGATTACATGCTTCGTTTGCGCTAACAGACCAAGAAATGAACAATGTTCTTTAAAACTAAAATTTGGTTTTACTTGATCAGTGTCTGCTATCTATATGCAACTCTTCCGTTCATAAACGTAATCTATATTTGAAATTAATAACGTTCAGTCGTCTGCAAGGAGTTATCTGTCGTTCAATATTTTGTGCAAGAGAAAAAAAATGACAAGATATCAATATGTAATGAAAATTTGTGGAAATCTCCTTGATATAGCCTCTTGGAAAATTATTTTTCTTCGCAATTATTTTGCTTAAAAATTCCGAAGAACTAATTCTATGTTATATGAATCAAAATTAAATGCAGAAGAAGATGAAACTGTCGATTGTCACGTGATAAACCTGAATGCAGTTAATTTTTAGCGCATTTTCTCCTTTATGGAAAAAATGCACTATTGTGCTCGCCATGTCTGTCTGTCCGTCCGTCCGTAACCTCAAGTTCTCGTCGACGAGAAAATGCGCTCTCTGTCACTCACTGCAGAGAATACTGAGTGATATTTTTTTAAATATACTATTTAAAGGCCCGGTTTTCAATAGTTCATAACTTAGGTTTGAATAAAATTGATACTATACTATACTACTACAGTAATAGTTAATCATTAATATACGATTTGACAGTTAAATAATAGTTAAAATATCAAAAATACTAGTGTTGATGCTTAAATGTAATAGTGAGACTGTTACGGACTATTCAGTGTTTTTCAGCGCAACTATTATCTACGGCAGGATTAATTGAATACGCGTGCATCCGTGGGTTCATTGGTGACATGGTTTCCCAGACTACCAGAAGACACGGTTTCTGGAAAGAAACCGGTACAAATACAAAATTTATTCAAAGAAAAAATGTTACTGAATTTATAAACAATATTCGAAAATATTCAAGTAAATTACAAAGGCTTTCTAAATAGAGAAATATTCAGACACGAGAACTAGGCTCACCAAAATTCATTCCTAGCTGATCTAAGATCGGTGTTTACTCCGCAGCTGACAGATGATGTATGAACGAAAAAGTTTCGCATGACCACAGAATTAAGCTAAGACAAATGTTGCGTTCACAACAGAGACAAAGAGTAAATGAATGAATGAGTATCGTTCATTTAGCAGCAAATTTCTAATAGAATTGACCCCTTCCTTGATTTAAAAGTTTTGGGGCGACAAAATTGGATTATACATGCAAAACTCATTTGAATTTCGTGCAAAAAATCTTGTATAGATAAAGAGATCGTTATTCGTCTTTAGTATTTTTGAAATTTTAACTATTACGTAGCTATTTAATCGTATGCTATCAATTTAACTAATAATATTTAATTAATTAATTTTTTACTCTAGCTGAGAACCATTTTATTGAATAGTATCAATTTTATTCAAACCTAAGTTATGAACTATTAAAAAGCGGGCCTTTAAATCTCACATTTAAAAAAAATAACTGCATTCAGGTTTATCACGTGACAATCGACAGTTTCATCTTCTTTGCATTTAATTTTGATTCATATAACATAGAATTAGCGCCTCGGAATTTTTAAGCAAACTAATCGTGAAGAAAAATAATTTTCCCAATAGGCTTTTTTAGGGAGATAAGAACGTCCATGACATATTGTTACCGTGTCATATTTTTCTCTTCGCACTGATTTCTTAGAAGATATATTCCTTCCCTGCATTGTTGCTTTGAATGCACGATCCAGTACAACCCCCGATTTATGGCAGATGGATGCATTTTTATAATAATTGTAATGAAGTCATGTACCTCATCGGGTTCGTTACGCGGGTGCATCAAACACCAGCCACCATAACTAATTTATTGAACAAGAACAATAATGAAACGGTATTGCTAGAAACAATGAAATGACCAGACAAGCTGAGTGCCCAGTCCAATAGTTTACACTGGATGACAGAGGTCGTAGCACGTCCCTGGTCCAGGGAGCACGTGATGACCCTTCCAAACAAGTACTTGGAATACGCGGTCCCGGAGGCAGCTCACTCTCGTGACCCGCAACACTATATTGGAAATAAATACTTTCATACTGACTTATATTACTCACTTAAGCCCTTGAATAACAGATTTTATATAGGATCACTTTTTAACCAATTTACATGTAACAGAAATAGCTATTTTATTATTAGGATTCATTTGGTCTAATATGGCAGCTCACCAATAAAGGCAGTGTAAGATGAGCTGCCATAAAAAGGCAGTGTCATAAAGGCAGTGTCTCTCGTAAGAACGATTTCCTTTCGGAGCCTTCTAATATGTAACTAACAACCTTACAATCATCAGTTCACTTGTTAAATGAATGAGGGATATTAAAATAGTAATACATTAGAACGAATTATTTAGGTCGGAAATGTTTTAAGTGTGTGAAGTCCATCCGAATATGCAAAAACATGTATACAGAGATTAACCAAATCTAGAAATCTCAAAATAATGAAAGATTTAGTGAATTCCTCATTTTATCGAGTGACGTTGTAGTCTTGCGAATATAAGAAGGAAAATCCAAACGAAAGCCTATTTTTTCAGTTCAGTATTTCACGAGAATGTTCAATTCTCTAATTTCAACTAGTTTCTCTCGTTTCAACTTCATTGGCAATGCAGTCTGGTTAACCAATTGTATCAGCATCAACAATACATAAAAAAAGATTGAATCCTAATAAGCATCGATTAATTTTAATCTAACCACTTGGTTACGGTTAGTTACCACGTTTTTCTTAGTTTCGCTTCGTGTCTGTCTGTCTGTCTGTCATCAAAAATTCAAACCTTAATTTAGAGCACTTCTGAAGATCCTAATTTTTTATTTAAAAAATTAAAAAACCCTAAAAATTCACGGTTGGGAATCGAGTTTTTTTTTTGTCGAACATCCAGACTTGCATCCCCTGGAAATTGATTTGAATTGCTGAAATTGCTAAACTAAAAAGTAGAAAATAAAAAAATATAAAAAAAAAACATTTTAAAAAACCACGTTTTTCTGGTGTTTACAAAACTAAAAACAATGAAATAAAACATATAAACAAGTTTTAAAAAACACGTTTTCCTAACGGACAAAAAAGAAAAACATCTACTCTTAGTCTCTTACATAACATTACATAACATTTACATAACTTTAAAGTTTAATGTTATGTAAGAGTTAATGTTTTTCTTTTTTGTCCGTTAAGAAAACGTGGTTTTTGAAAGTTTTTTTTATTTCTTTTATTATGTGTCAAGAGGTCATCGAGCACGACTAATCTATATGGTTATGTTCTCCCGAGATGCCAAAGTCACATAAAAATGAGAACTGATTTAATTTATTAATGACCGCACGTTTAGATTGGTCCTGTCTAAATAAGAACTTATTTTACACATCATTGCAGTCAATGGGCTTAGCTTTAATGGTGAAAACGCTTCGTAATAATTATCTTTTGAACATGAATATATAGAATCGAAGAAAACTCCCGGTAAAGTTGCCACAACTTGAAAATGTTGTACGTGACTAGCTCCATCATCCATTCAATAACTTGAAAAATACAAGTAGGCTTATAATTAATGGAAAGTCAAAACTTACACAAACGTGATTGAGACTTGAATACCGAATGAACGTGTCAAAGAACGTCAAAGCCAATCGATGTGCTAAATATAACGTTCGGCTTCATTTTCGGTATGGAGTTCTGCTCGCCAATCCGCCAAATCTGATATGTTAATTTTTCCAGAATTAATCTATTTGCTTGTGTTTGGGAATGATTACAAGACTTTAGCTTGAACAGCTGATACCTCAGTTTTAAAAAGTTTGAAATATCATGGACGGAAACTTTGTCCTATAATACCGCTTACAGCTCTTTTCCGCGTAAAATTGTTACTCAATTATAGGTGCGCACATTCCTTATATAATTCTGTAATTCTGTAATTCTCTTCTGTAAATAAGGTTTATAATTTTTAATTAGTGATTGATCTGCATGATCATGAATAATGTTCTCAATGCAGATACGGCAAATTAAATTTCTAACTGTTCTCTTTGTAAAGTTGGTTTAGTGATGATATTAGCAAAGAAATGACATAAACATTAGCACTGATTTCCATTAACCTCTTGAGGGATTTCCATTAACCTCTTAGATGTTTGATCTGTAAAAACATTCAATTATATCTGGTGTATGTTTTTGATGTTCAATGCTTGAACGAACGCACCGCTTGGTTGTATATAAGTGCACTAACATATACATATAGTGTGAAGCGAGTAAACTCTTGAATAACTAAGTTTTATAGGGACGCTCGTTCCCGGCCAACTTAATCACAAAACTTCCAAAATGCTGAACAATGGCTGAAAGAAAATTATTTCATCTCACGCCTCAAATAAATGGTATAATCCAAACAACCGAACCCTCTGACTGCTCGCACTCTATCCCACCATGCATATGACGTTGAAATAACAAGGATTTTAACGTTGTTTCAACGAAATCAACTCATAGGTTGTTTCAAAGTCATTAGTCTGCCATCATGTTACATGTATCGTAGTCAATGATGTAAGTTTATGAACAAATCTATTCATAACTCATTCGCTGCACGACAAAACGCTCAAAACATTCTCATCCCGCACTGGCTTCGCATAACACAAGAACTTCGCAGGTCATCCGTCGTGCTTTGAATTCCGTATATCCCAACCAAATATCTATTACCATCGTTTCGAAATTGGGAAAAATTATCACATCAAAATTATAACATATTTTCCTACTTTAAATAATCTAACAATTGAATTTTTTAACAAGGGAAAGAATATAATCCACTAGCGGTTTATTTCAAACTGGCTGATATCTGTAATTTCATTTTTAATTGATTGAGTTTATTTCTTCAGGTGTTAAAAACACTACTCTGCCTGATCTGTCACAGAATACAACGTGAACGTTCCGATGGATAATTGTCAATTGATATCTGATTGATTGTCCACCCCCAGGTGATTTAGCAGAAAATTTTGAAGTATTTTTATTATACATTAGTATATGTATTGATGTAGTCAATTACCCAATAACTTCGACTAAGTCAAGTAAACTTAATTTCTCTGTATATTCTTGGTCATGTTTCAGAGCGATATCGCCCAGGCCATGTGGTCGACACAGCAGTCGTGCTTCCTCGCCTGCGTTGTCCATTCGGCGATCAGGATCTGCGTAGCCTTCATTCATGACCCAATTAACCATCAACCTAATTCAATTCTTCAGAGTCAATACGAATCTCTGGCAAGCCTTCAAAAATACAAACCCGCTGTTAGGCAATCCGATGTGCCTGGGTATCTCCCGAACAGCTCAACACTCGTGCCTGAAATAGCCTTGAATAACTCGCGTCTTCTTCCCCTGCTGAGGTCTGAATCGGGAAGCGATATTCTGGAGTTGCCTGAGGAATGGATTATTTCGAACCGCCTAATCATACCATTCGTTGTAAATAATTTAACACGTGCTGATATTACCGGCCAGGACATCGTCTTAGGAGCAATGATGGAGATTCTGCATGTTTTCGAGTACCTCAACAGAATGGGCCGTTGTTGGTTGTCTGCGGGCAGAGAGTTGAATGCAATAATCAATGAAGCAATTCCATCTTTATTTACAAGAACAATGCCTCAAAAGAAGCAACGAATAATGTCTTGGTCTTTAAGCCGGGTGCAAAACGCATTTCTTCAAGGATCAAGCATGTTACATCACTGTCCCAATTCATTTATATACAACAAAAAAGTTGAGAACGAAATGATGAATGTTGTATCGTGCATGAATCCAAAGCTCGTAAAATTTTTTGGAGAAAACATTCAGTTGCTGAAGACACTTTTAGCAAATTTTCTAACAGCCTCTCAGAAAAATGGAAATTTGCTTGTGGATTTTATTTGCAATGAGCAATTATCATTGAAAAATTCAGCTTTTGACGTCTGCGCTCATCTTTTGCAAAAAACCCTATCGTTTATAAACTTCTCTTCCAAGAACCAGTCGAGCTTTCTGCACCGAAGGAGCACTAGAGCTGCGAAGCGAAAAGAACGCTGGCCTGTAAAGTTCTCAAAGAGCCATCAATCATCAAGTTTTATAGCAAGCCCTGAAGTCTCAAGAAATGATTACTACGAAAATGAACCGCCCCTAAGTATCATTATTGAGCCTACTGATGGACATCGCAAAGGCAAGGTACCGAAGTTGTTGGTGGCGCTCGTTGTCGGCACGTACGGCGTGCTCTCGTTACTGCTCTTGAGGTTGCTGCTCCAAATTCTGCTACCCGTGAGTGTTGGACCTCCTGGGGCATCTGGGGACAAAGGCATGATAGGAAATAAGGGTATAAAAGGCGACAAGGGCATTAAGGGAGATAAAGGAATGAAAGGCATCAAAGGAGAAAAAGGGAACAAGGGTTTGAAGGGCATTTCTGGGCCGATGGGACTACAAGGATCAACAGGAGGACCGGGACCCGAGGGAGCTCAGGGCCCAGGTGGAGACCCTGGGATGCCTGGAGACATTGGGGATAATGGAGACCCAGGAATGCCGGGTGACCCTGGTATGCCGGGACCCAACGGAGACGATGGAGACGATGGTATGAAAGGTGACAAAAATTGTCCTGGTAAAGGAAACAGCTGCCGGCGCTTGAAGAGGAGACACGCCAGAGATTCAACTGTTGAGCTGCAAGATGCACCGCAGCTGCTAGCATTCCTCTACTCCAAAATAAACCAAAAATCTGCGACTTTGACAAGAGAGGTCGACAGTAAATGCGATGCCGTGAGTGCGGTCAACGAATTATGGCATCAGTTCGAAGACCCTACAGGCTGCGTCAAGTGCTCGCTCTTCGAGTTCTTCATATCATCAAAATATGACGCAACTGATTCTCTTATTGTGTAAGAATGACATTTTATGGAAGCAATATTCAATTTCTTTTCAATTTACTTCAAATTTGGCTTGCGCTTATTTAACAAGTTTATTCATACATATTTATTCAACTCATTCGAGAACACTCAATGCCTTATTTGAGGCTAACGTGGTAAGGTTACTGGTTGGCATGAAAAATTGGCTGATTGATAGATTGATTACCTCTTTGTTGGTGACATCAGAAGCCGCAGGTAATTATTCCTTATGGATCCGTGATGTTACGTAATATGTTAGTCGTACACTTAAGAAACATGGGCCCGAAAAACGAAACAGAGAAGTGAGTTATTTGCTATAGGAGTCCTATTCAGTTTGATCATCACATAAGATGGTTTATTTCTGAGCAATTAATTTGAATTTTTGTTGTCCAGGGCGAACTTGGCTCACGTGCTGGGAGTGCAGGAGTCGCACCAGCTGCACGCGGCCACCTGGGAGGCGCGCGGCAGCAACCAGAAAATCTTCTGCAGGCGCCGGGAAAATTCCTGCGACGTCGTCCGGTAAACCAACAGAGCCTTCGCACTACCCGAGGAAATATAACCTTCATTGATATATTGCTGTTTGAAATTGTTTGTGGTCTGATTTCAATAGACAACTATTGATATATTGCTCCTCCATTGATATATTGCTGTTTGAAATTGTTCGTGGTCTGATTTCAATAGACAACTATTTAGGAGACTTCCAACGTGCACCTATAAAATCATAGGATAAAGATTTTATTTGGTATGATCAGAGAGAACTAGTCAAGGCAGCAATTTAATACTTCATCAAATATTTAAAACGATGAAGTTTGCGTTAGAGGATGGTTGTGTAAATAATGCGCACGATTCGAAGTTCCTTAAGTTAAATAGGCCTTATTCAAAAAGAAAATATTTAAATGGATGAAAAAAATGGTCGAATGAACGAAACATAATATTTAAACGGCTGAAACAAAATGAAAGAGCCGGAGGAACTAATTAAATGATTAAAATGCATTTTTTGCCTGGTTTTATAAAGATAAAGAATCTAATGATAATGATTGCCGCACAATCGGCCAGAATGAAGAATGAAGCGAACTAAAATGTTTTTATTCGAATGAAAGAGAGCTCAATTAACAAGGCGGGCGCAGCAATTTTCTTTGCGCGCTTTGGTCGGTCGCATCCAGCTCCTACCGCCACGGAACCTTATGGTAAGCTAATCACATTTCAGGTCTCACGTAATTTTTATAATCATATTTTGCCGTATGCAGGGGAGCATTATATTCATATAAACTCGAATATTTCAGAAGATTCTCAAACGATGTACTGCTCTTACTACTTTCGTGTATATAAAATATATATCTCTTCTCCCGTGATGCACTGATTACTTGAGGTTACATTGTTAATATCCCTGGTATTGACGATGTCTGGCAGCCAGCTGCCGCATCAGTAACTATATAAAAACGTGTATGTTTTCTTGTACATGTACGGTTTCAATTAATAAAATTAGGAAAAAATTAAAAAGTATACCAAAATGTATTCATGATATATACAAAAAATGACAATGTGTGAACGAAGACGAATCAATAAATATGAAACGGGATAATCCTTAATTTAAGTAATCATAGAAATCTAACTAACCGAATAGCTTGGTTCCTCGGGTACTACAGGCTCTTATATAGGGTCAACGTTGAATGCTGTGACGAATCAGAAATTAACTACTTCTAGTAGGCTTATTCTATTGCTGCAAATTCCAGTGAAAAATGTCGGCTTCACACTGCGTCCCCTAACCATACACTCACTATCTATGCTACTCATGTGTTAATTAAAGGTATTATTTGGGTATAATTGTGGGGCTCGAACTTTTTGACTGCGCCGCACTGGATTAGAGGGCAGTTGCGCAATCGGTGCACCGCAGTTGTTCTCGACACAGTTTATTTCTAAGACACACTGATATAATGCAAACATTTGAACAAACATATTAATTCTGCCTTGCAGCACCACTCATCGCAATTTACTGGACTTCATAAGTTTTCAATGATGTCTAATTAGGAACAAACTTCTCAATGAAATCGTCTTCAACATGAATGAATATAAAATTTACAGATTTTACTTGTTGAACTGCATTGAATTACAAGTTCCGGAAACTCGAGGCGTTTATTTAATCAGTAAATGATAAAGCATTAGCATAGCAGCGCATGATCGCGAAATATTTTTTCGACAGATCGTGATCTTAATTGGAAACCATGCATGGAACTATTTATTAAAATTAGACAAAAAACTTTCAACTGACCTTGCAGAAATTGTTTGCTTCAAAACTGATCAAACAATTTGTTTGCTAATTTTAGTTATAGATTGATTTTACTACCACGGAATATGGTGACACTATCGAAGTTTCTCGAAGAAGACACGTGTGCTTGTCTCACGTTTTTGCTCGTGGGTTCGTGTCTCAACTGCAATCACTGAACGGGTATTGAAGCTCGTAGTCATCTATTTCCTCGTGTCTGATCACCTCAACGATTTTAGATTGTAAAGTCACCGAGCAAGTTCTTCGGAGGTGGCAGAGCCATCTTCTTCTTACAATTGAAGTCAGTCTGCCGTCGATCGCCATACTGAAAGGTTGGTTACCATCTCGTAACACATGGCAGACACATCTTGCGTCGTGCAGCAGACGTACCAACCAATCCAAACATTGGAATCTCCTCCGCTCCCTAGCCGGAAAGAGGAACCGCCCTCCCCCCAATCAGCCAATCCAATTTGGTCGGATTTCCCTCTCCTCCCAACGCAAGATCTCCGCCTTCTGCAAGCTTTTCAATTCGGTCTCTCCTCACTCTCAGAGCCCCTCCACCCGCCGCCTCATTCGTCGAATACGAGCCCAACACCCCTCGACAGGGACTTCTCCCCTTTTCCCCCAGACATGGTGAAGCTTGCCATCTCAGCCGCCAACAACTCTTCCGCTCGGGGTCCTGATGGCCTCACGGTGCTTCATCTAAAGCACCTCGGCCCGCGTGGCCTCCAGTTCCTTACCCATATTTTCAACATCTCCGTCTCCACAGCCTCAATTCCATCCATTTGCAAAAATTCTACAATTATTCCAATTCTCAAACCGTCCTGCCTCTATTTCAGAACGCAGTCGCCTTTCAGGGCTGTTCACTTCGGAGTGCCCCAGGGCTCGGTCATCTCGCCGGCCCTCTTCAACCACTTAATCTCCGATATCCCAGTTCCGACCCCCAACATTGCCTCTTATGCGGACGATCTGACCATCTTTGTCTCGTCCCCGAGGCTCGACGCTGCTGAGGCTGAGCTCGCTGTGCTCCTTCGGAACGTATCGGATTGGTCGGCGGCCAAGAAACTGAGCGTGGCCCCTGGCAAATCCTCGGTCACGCTATTCACACCAGACACCCACCAATCTCGATCCCACCCTGCAGCCACTATCTGCAACGGCGTTATCCCTCTGGATAAAACCCCTAAAATCCTGGGCGTCACCTGGGATACGCACTTCACATTCTCCCCTCGTGCAAGAGCCATCGCCACGAAAGCGACGGGTTCTCTTCGCATCCTAAAAGCCCTATCTGGTACCAATTGGGGCTTCTCCAAGGAGGACATTATTGCCACCTACCGAGCCATCACGCGCCCAATTCTCAACTACGCGGCCCCCATCTGGTACCCTGCTGCCTCACGCACAGCAGTTGCCAGCCTGCAGATAATTCAAAACACTGCATTGAGACTAGCAACCGGCTGCCTAAAAATGGCCCCGATCTCCCACCTTCACCAGGAGACTGGCGTCCTCCCATTAGCCGCGCATCTGGACCTGGCTTGTGCCCAGTTCCTCGCCAGCGCCCTCCAGCCCTCCCATACCTCATTCCGTATCGTTTCTGCCCCCCCCGGGTGACCGCCCCATGAAAGCTGTCTCTTATACACATCTAGATGTGTATAAGAGACAGGTCTGACACGGTTCCGTTAATACTGACACGTTGTCGTCTACCTACTAGAAAATCTCTGATCCATTGGAGTACGTTTCCCTCAATTCCCAAAGACTTCACTTTACGTAACAGCCGCTCATTCGGAACACTGTCAAATGCTTTGGCAAAATCGAGGTACAATGCATCCACTGGCTCCCTTTCGTCCAGCAGGCGAGTCCAATCGTTCAACGTTAAACGTAGATAATAAGTTAGTGGTGCAGTATCTACCGGCAATAAAACCGTGTTAACAATCTGATAGGAGATGGTGAACAGTCAAGTGATCGATAATCCTATCCCATACAACAGATTCCATTAGCTTACAAACAACACTTGTCATACTGACAGAGCGATAGTTGCCGGGGCTGCTTTTGTCACCTTTTTTGAACAATGGTGTTACTTGAGCTTCTTTCCAGTCGGACGGCAAAGTTCCTTCGTTCAAGGTTTTCTAAAAGAATACTGTCAATGGGCCGGCCAGAACGGTTGCTATTTTTTTGAGCAATCTGGGATGGAAGCCGTCCGGTCCACATGACTTGTTGGGATTTAGAGCTTCCAGGCGCTTGAGAACCTCTTCGTGTATATCAAAACCTGTTAACTTCGAGCCAGTTGGGTGCCCCTCAATATCTGGAATACTGCTCAAGTCCTCATCTGTGAACACACTGCTGAAGAACTGATTAAGAACGTTAACCTGCTGAAGAACTGATTAAGAACGTTAGCCTTGCCATGATCAGAGGAAATCTTTCGTTGGTCTACTTTCAAATCAAATATACCGTCCTTTGACTTACACTGCGAACTAGCGTACAAAAAAGAAGGCTTTCGAATTCTTTTTTTGCATTTTTAGAAATATTTTTTTTTGAAGTTTTTGACTGCATTCCGAGGATTTCCTAGGTTTTACGTTGAAAGTGGAATGTCACTAAATATAGCTCGCTATTTGTAAAAAGGCTGCACAAATTTGAATTGCTATTTTATAACAATCGCATCACTGAGTAGCAGCGAGTTTACGATGCGATTCGAAGAGCACGAGATTATCAACACATGGCTGAGCTATGGCTAGATTCGTTAATTTACGTTTCGTGACAAGGCAACTCTTAAGCTCATCGTTCTATGGTTGGCACACAATTTATATAGACAAATGGGGACGTTAATAACTTAAGGTTACTTATCGCTAGTAGAAAATACACGCTGGTCCGGATAAGAGCAGCACAGGTTTTCACAATACATCACAGCAGAGCAGATTGAGGCTTGTGTGTACATAAAGCGTCTAACGGGGCAGGGGTGCGCAGCCATGCACCAGCAAATTTGTGCACCAATCAGCCTTGAAAGGAACGCCTAGCATATTTCCGGATGACCACCAATCAGCCGCGGATTAAGAGGCCCGTTCACGGACGCTCCAACTCTAAACTCGGCACACTGGGCGAGAGCAGTGTAAATTTCAGCGGGAGCCTCTGGCAGCGTAGTGACGTGGCCGAAGGTGCGCGAGAATAGTGAAGTATGAGCTGCACATTAATTGTGCATAGATTTTTTTAGTTACGTCGAGGTAAACATTTTCATTACTATTTAAATTCTCCCTATTTCCCGAGTTAGCGCAAAATTTCTCATCTTCACTGCAGACAGCGGCTTATTTTTCACTAATAGATGAACCGTTCGCTGCAGACAGAAATTCAGTGCACTGCGAACAGTGTCCACCAGTCTATTCTGATCATTCAGGCTGTTCATGATTATTAGCAACTACGATCATTTAGTTTCTTACTGAAAAATTGACTGGCTCAAAAATACGTTTGCACATTGAAGAAATCTCCAAAACTATAGTTTAGGCTGATAAAATTATTCAATTACATTCGTGACATTGATCTGTTCACTTATCGAATTATTTTCAAAAAATAATCACTGACTACNCTTAGATGTGTATAAGAGACGTGTCTGTGGGGGGCGCTAGAAGTTCACTAGGGAGCCAAAGGGGGCGCCAGCCTGAAAAAGTTTGGGAACCAC